CTGATAGCTATTCATATGATCATTAAATAGCTATGTTAATTATAATGTATTCCTATCCCTGATATTATTCCTAAATCCTCTACTAGCAGCAACCAAAGATAAATTCACGTAGGAATCTTATGCCAGTGGAAGAAGGAAATTTTAGAAGAGTCAGGAGCATTATGGGGAGAACATCTGGAGAAATATCTATATGAAAAGCACCTAGACAATGGGACATATTCATTAATTAAGAAAGTGTAATTTTGGGGAAATAGTGAATCCTAAGAGGGAAGAGGAAGGAAAGCAAGAAATGGAAGAGAAATAATAGAAATTAAACAATGGAAATAGTGGTATATGTGTGAGAAAAAGATTTAGTGCCAGGCTTCCAGACATGAATTCATCACTAGACTACAAATCTCCTACACTTCACAACTTGTATTCACTTGCTTGACTTGGCAGAAGTTTCACAGACATGGCTCAGAAGGATAAAAATCTTTATCACAGAGAAAAATAAAGTAATCCTAAACAGTTGTTTGCCTCAGAGGTCTAATCTCATGGCTTCTTCCTCCCACCCTTCTGAATGACAGACAACTGGCATGGTGCTTGGTGGTCTTGAAGACAGGCAGTTGCCTGGCCAAGACCATCATGGCTATCTCTAGCTGAGAACTGGTGGTTCCCACCTCAGTTTTCACAGGACTGGATCTAGTCCAGCCTGTTTGGGTTCCAGGCATATACCTGAAGGTTTCTCATGAACAAATGTGGGTCTCAACTAGGACAGCCCCTCGTGTCTCCTCTCATATGGCATCTGTTGCAGTTACTGTGTTAATGTAGATGACTGTTTATGACCGTGTATTTATTTATCTATTTTATTTCCTTTGCCATGTTTTATCCCATGTTTTTGACCATAGGGCATTAACTGAGAAGCATTTAATGGCATGGCAATAACACACTGCCATAACTACCACTCCAAACAGCACAGTCAGTAGTTTCACTATTGGGGGTGCTAACTTCACATCCATGCCTCAGTTGTCTAGAGGTTACCTGTAAACTCTCCCTTAGAGGATGGAAGAAGTAAGAGATACTATCAAGTTTCCTTCTGCCAATTTTTTTTCCTTCCTCCAATTTTCATCCATTCCCAAATGTTCTTAACAAAAACTGATAAAAAGCACAAGAGGACCTTCAAGTCTTAAAAGGGCAAAGGTAATTGCTCTGCTTCTCCCCTCCTGGGGAGCTCTCATAATGCCCAAGAAAACTAAGAGAAAAATCCCAAGTTGTACGGTGCCAGGAGCAACACTTCAGTAAGAGAAATAGAAGGAAGGAAGGCTCCCCCAGCAATGGTTCTCACCTGCTCCAGTCAAGACGCCCAGCAGTCGGCAAACGTATTCCAGCACATTCCAAAACACGGGTTGCTTCATGCTAGCAAGGCAGGGAAGGTCTTCGGAGCTCTTGAAATGGTCACTCTAAGTCTGTTTGGGGGGATGTCAGAGTAGATGGAGTTTCTCGTAGCAGGGGCTGAGCAAACTAAAAGCGTATAATTCCAAAGATCTATAGCAAAAGCACCCCCAAAGAACACCCTTTTTTACCACCTTGAACCAGCAAGCACTGCATCTGAGGGGCTCCTATTGACCTCTTTGTGCTGCCATTTATTCTGCTTTATTTCAGAGGACAATTAATGATTACCAAGCAGAACAAACACATCAATTAATGCCTGAGGCTCTTTCCCTTTTTGTGGCATTTCAGTGCAGGACAAATCTATCCCGTGCATGCAAGCGCCTGATGGCGTGGAGCCCACAGCTAGGCAGATTAATTGCTAGGGGAGGAAATCAGAGGCTTAAGTCTTTGCTACCCGTGTTTTAAAGCCCTGAGTTAATAAGTTGTGAAATAGCTGAAAAGCTACAGTTATTTTTAACATTATTTTAAAAATGAGAATCCTTATTTTAACAGTCTTAAAATATGGATTCTCATTTAAGTTACCACCTCCTTTGAATATAACAACAACCAATAAATGCTTAATATTTCCAGGCACCCCAGCTGGAATGCTTAGCTCACAGGATGGTCTGGAAGGTGTGGTTAAAAAAATCAAAATGGGAGCCATGACAGCATGATCAATGCTCCACCAGTTTTTTTACCCCTATATACCATTCTGCCTACTTCACCGGTTATTTCTGTATGCTGCCAGCCTTTTCTTTCCAGCACTAGTGAAGGATAGAGCTTGCTTGTAATTAATCACTCCCTCCTGCTTCATCCAGGCTAATTCTGAACACAGGTTTAGCACACTTTCAGAAAAGCACTAGTCCCACATTCAGAAATAGTCAGACTGACAGGTAACAGGTGCAGAATACTTCCCAATGTTAGTGGGCAATTTGAGATGTGGCTAAACCATCCGTTTTAAAGGCTCACCTACACTCACCTGTCATTGTCCTGCCGAGAGAGAGTGATTGGTGATTGTTTTCTCACCAGGAGACCACAGTTGGTAGGAGAAACAAGGCCTGAGCCTAATGCGTGCTCCCGCCCTTCTAGCGTTCTGGAAGGCCTTGCAGATCTGGCTCTTCCCCCAGGCATTAGGCTAGGCAAGACTGGAGCCCAGTAAATATGAACGTCAGCATCTGGGGGACTGTTGTTTTTGGGGTGCTGGGAGTTGGTTTTTTATGTTCCTTTTTATGTTTTAACATTATTTTTGTGAGTTGCCCAGGGTTATAGCATATAAGATAGTTATGTCTTATAAATAAATAAATAAAATAAAATAAAATCTTGGAGATCTTATGATCATCACCCTGTTACACCTTTGAATTCATATCTGGCTCTCTATACTAGCCAGTATTGGTGATCTTATAAAGCTAAGCAGCGTTGAGTTTAGTCTAGTTGGATGGGAGCCCACTAGGAAATCCAGGGCTGTAGAAACTGGGGTCATGCCAGAAGAAGGCAAGGGTAAATCACCTCCATATTATTTCGGGGGGGAAAGGGCCAGGCACATGCAGCTGTTGCAGTAGTAACCGGGGTTCTCATTTTGCCCGTGTGACCGACTGCAACAGCTGCACTGGTTACTAGCTGGCTTCTAGATGCAATTCAAGATGCTGTTTGTACCTTGAAGGACCTACATGACTCAGGACTTGCATGTCTTTGAGACCCTTTGCTGGCAGGCAATACCTGCCCGTTCAGTGAGTTCTGGAAGGAGTGGCTTTCGGGGCCCGGCGAGCCACACGAACAAGATTTCTCCATTGCTGGCTTCCCCTCCTGAAATCAGACTAGCACCACCTCTGTTGAGGTTTAGGAAAGTCCTAAAGTCCTGGCTCTTCCAGAAGAGACTGATGTGGCTGGAGTGTCTCCTGCCTTCAACTTATGTGATTGTATTGATTTGGGGTTTGTGGTTCTTTGGCATGCTATGATGAGAGAGAATGTTATTGTTATGTTTGCTGGGTTTACTGTTTTAATCCTTTTTATTGTAAACCAGGAATGTAAGCCACTTAGAACTTGTTATATTGAAGTGGCTATAATCCTAAATAAATAAACTTAATTCAATATCCATGCAGTCACTCACAGTCAAGCTTGACTTGAAGGAAGCTTTACTTTTGCTAAGCACTAAAGATCATCTTGTTTATTTCCTGCACTCTGTGCCTTAGTGTAGGCAACTAAAGCCATGGACTTCACAAGCCAATGTTCTTCCTCATTTTTTTATTAGGCCCCATGAAAGCAATCCTCTATCTTCCTACAAAAGCTTGCGAGCCTTTATCTGACCCGCTTACTTCAGGGATTTTGTCTGCAACCCTGGCAAGATTTAGTTCAAAGCCCTCCTGATTCAGTTCATCATGCTTTGGTCAAACAGCTTTACAAGGACTGTAACCCTTTTCCCACCAGCAGTTCATCATCCAGAATACTCAACCTATGCTCTCTTAAATGTTCGTTCTAAAGGAATAAGCATAAACCAAAGCTTTGCCAGGCTATATTGTTAGCTAACGGTTCGCTCCCACGTGCATCACACCTAACTGCTGTTATATGTATCGTCCTTTCACTGTTTTCCCCTCCCTTTTTTTTTACTTCTCTCCCAAGACAATAATCTCATACAGTAATTGATTTATTATTCCTTGAGATAACACAGGACTGTTTTTACTGCAAAGACTAACATGGCAACTCCCTTGGAAATTATTTATGAACAACATTGAAAGCAATTCTGTCTTTCTCTCTCCCACCTCAGAAGTGATTCTGTCTCTCCTTCTCTCTCTCTGACCTCTCCCTGCTTTTCTTCCCCCCCCCCCAACACACACACACCCAGAATAACTGCATGTATGTAAAATGTTCTTCTCTCAAGGCTATTTCATATTTCAGATCAATTGGACTATCATCCACCAAACTTGTGCTAACAAAGTTTTTAAGGTGCCACCAAACTTTTTTATTTATTTATACATCTTGGAAAGCAGCACGAAATTAGTTCTAACCATGTGTTTAGAGAAGACAACATCCAGTTTGTGTACAGGCTGGGCTGGTTCAAGGTGCAAAGTTGCCACTGTAGAGGAACCCATAGAAAAGGCAATTATAGCAGATACCAAAGTGGAGTCAGAAGTTCAGAAAGCAGAATCATAAACAAGTCAAGATCAAGGTTCAGGAAAATACTTTGGCAATAAATAAAAGCAAAGTAGCAGAATCCAAAGAAAGTCCAGAGGTGAGGAGCATAAAAGTTCCAGATATCTGGGATGGAAAACAGTGGCCTATATCATACATAACAATAAAACAGGATATTTAACCCTACTTTAATAGGCCCATGTTCACCTGACATACTAAATGCAGTGAGAGCACATTGGCACCATCTTTAAATGCCAGTGTGCCATGTTTTAGACTCACTGCATTGTACAAACTGTGTATCAATGCCATTTTGAATCTCTTTCACCTGGATGCTCTGCCTTAGGTTTGTTCTTGGTTACAGTGCATGAATTAAGGATACCAAGATGGTGTCTGGGCTCATAGGACACACCAGGCTAAAATGTGATTGGCTAGTTTTTGGTTCAGAAAGTTGAATGTACCTAGCCAATAAGTCCTCTGTCCTGGGGCAGCTGAAAGCTCAGATCAACCAGAATGGTAGAGGATTAAAAATGACCATTTTTTAATTTTTTGCTTTAGAATATAAAAAGGATTCCCTATGCCAACTATCTGCCTCTCCATAAACAGTTCAAGCAACTATTTGGCCAGATGCCAATAATTTAGGGAAATAAAAAGTGAAGCTTGTTCTAAACCAGTGTTTCTCAAGCTCAGCAACTTTTAAGATGTGTGGACTTCAACTCCCAGAATTCCCCAGCCAGCTTCTTCTTAAAGCTGCTGAGATTTGAGAAACTGTTCTACGCAGTCCAGCTTCCCAAGGTTTTGATATGAAGGGCTCCCAGTGCCCAAGATCTCACCCACAGAATTCTCACACAGCCAGTTTCCTCTGTGATGAACTCTGGGCTACCAGATGTTGCAACCCCTCCCTCACAAAATGCCCCTGCAGCTTCCTAGCAGTCTTCCATGCTTCCAGTTTCAAATATGTGTCTGGTCTGTCCCCTCTGGGCCCCTTTTGAAGGAGAAGGTGCTCAATACAAGCCCATCCTTTTCCCTCTCAGCTGCAGCTGTTAAATAAGGCATCTGAGCAAAGTTGGACCCACGTAGGATCTTCATGGTTGTACACGGGACCTACATAAAACTATCATCAAATCACATTTATGGTGCAGAAAAGATGCAACGACAGGTCCATCAATGTTGAGTACCTCCATGGAACCTTGTGATTTTTGTGCCAAATCTATCTGATGCTATCCACAACTGCTTTGACGAATGTTGTATCCAGGGGAATGATGAGGAAGCTAAACTTCTGCTTTCTCTAGATCTCTCAGTGGTAGTCGCCCAATTTAAAAAAGAGCTTCTGATGGATGGCATGAAAGGTGGGTCAAGTTATGGCTGTGGTTCCAAGCCCATTTGGAGGATAGAGTTTTAAAAAACCAGTGTTCTTAAGGCAGAATCTCTTTGCAATCTCCTGACCATAACCTCAGGGATTATCTGGATCCCTGAGTTTGGAGTTTGTACAACACATTTAACTGGACAGCGAGGGTTGGTATGTCATGGAAACCTTGACAGCTAATCTGAAGCGATTCAAATTAACTCTCTTGGTCAACCCCACCATACAAATAGTTTATCAGGGGTGATTATTTATTTGGTTGATTTTACCTTTAATACCATCCAGAACAAGAGTTCACATTTCATCATTCTGCTATTCCAGTTTTAGTTTTAGCTATTTATTTTGGAAGCCCTGGAGGATTACAGCTAAGCCCATTTATGAAAAAGGCTAGACACGACCTGGGCGATACAGTCCTTTAATTTCCCAGGAGAACGGCCCTTCTCTCGCAAATTTCAAGGATCGCTTTCACAGCCCTTTCCCCGAGGAGGAGAAACGCCTTGAAACTCGTTAAAGGGTCCCGGGAACGGGAATCACGGTTACCCAGAAGGCCTGTCATAAAAGCAAGCCGAGGAAACTCAGTGCGCTGCTTTTCGTTTTTGCAAAAGTCATCTGGAGGCAGGGCCGGAACAGACATGCCGTGAGATTCAATTCTCCCCATCTCTTCGGGCGGTGGGAAACTTCACCAGCGCTTTTCCGGAGCGTCTCAAAAGCAGAGGAGACCGCGCCGCATCGACGAGGGTGCGAGGAGCGGGACGGAAGGGCTGCTCCGGCCCTTCCAGCCTCTCTGTGCGCAGCTGGCTGCTCCTGGCACCACCCCGTCCGGGCTGCGCCGCTCCACCCCGGCTTTTGCACGGCCCCCGAGCAGCCAGGAAGCGCCGGCGAATAAG